ATATTTTGGCTGAATGTTCTTTGAAACTGTGTAAATTATAAAACTCAGTTGCACAGATTATGACAGTACTATTATGATTGGTAGTGTCGTCACTAAACGATGTGATATCATAGAAACACTCCAATTTCAAAAATGTAGTACGCCATCTGTTACAGAACCACTTGCACTACAACAGGCCATCTATCGCCCGTTTCCCGAACCGCAAAACGCCATCTATTGACCGTTATCTCATTTCTACGTTCGGAACTCCGCCAGATCCCTTATTATTTTCTTGCAAACGTCTTCATGCGCCTGCTACAAGAAAAAAACACAACAAATAGCTGATGTAGTCTTTAAAATACGTAATTTTTCAATTTATGGTACTTTTCGCGTGTATCTTCGGGACTACCGCAGGTCAGTCCGTGCCATGTGTGACCTGGAGTGACCTTATGGTAATGTGGAGCCCCACGGCAACCATGAGCAACTCTTCTACAAGATCCGGACACATGTTAAGCGCAACGAGAACTCTTCTTAGCATTTCACGTGACTAATTCGAAGGTGGGTAAAAATTCTCGCGACTTAAGGAACATTTTCCCATAGAGGCTTTAAGGTTATAGGTAAATTGTAACCAAGGTACGCCACTAGTTCGATCTGGGACTTAATTTTTTCCACGTCGAATGTCGTCTTCATATTCAGAAGATAAACAGGGTGTTCCAATATTCCGTATACGGAGTGGAAAGTTTAACTGGAACAGGTTCTGTAAATTAATAAATAGTCCAGTCACTGAAGGCGAAAATAAAGTAAAAGCTCCCAATTTTTTCGGATAGCATGGATTTTCCTGAAAATTTGCATACAAGCTCATCTGACCCCCCACTTCAAAAGTTATATTGTCTATATGTGTTTTTTTTCTATTTGGGGGTGAAAACTACCCTTATACGAAAAAAATGCGAAAATCGCAGATTTACGTATTTTAAAGATTCAATTCATGTTCAAATATGTTGGATAAAGTTCCTTTCATGTTTTTTAATGAGCGTTCAAATAAAAACGTGGTCAAGTTGGTTCTGAAAATTTGGACGTAGGGCGTAGCGTATAGCAAATGAACTTAAACGTCATCTGTCAAAGCGCTATATCGCCGCTATCAATTTGAATATTTTCGTTTTAAAAAGCGTTTAAAATGGTGTTCAAGAACAAAAAGTGTTTATCATAGAGTCCTACTTTAGAAATGGACGCAAGATTGATGGAATATGGAAGTATTCTATTGAGGAATGTTTCATAGAATTTCAAAATCAATTTCCCGGCGTTGTTGAGTACAAAATTTTTCAAAGTGCAGTTCAGCGTTGTGTTAATGTTTTTTGTGAAACGGGCAGTGTAACAAGAAAAGAAGGAAGGCCGACCTAAAAAGCGGACTGAAGAATTAAAAGAAAATGTCCAACAAATAATGGAAAATGCGCCAAGAACTTCTGTACGTGTTTTATCACAAATGGTGGGAGTATCAGTCGGTACCTGCCACACAGTGTTAAAAAAAGATTTGCGTTTGTTCTCCTATCGTTTAACTTGTTAGCAAGAACTTCATGAAGTTGATTTTCCGCTACGGGCTGTATTTTGTGAATGGTTTTTAAACGACTACGCTGAACTTCATAATATCACCTTTTTTTCTGATGAAGCCTGGTTTCATTTAAGTGGTTACGTAAACTCACAGAATATGAGAATGTGGTCTTTTGAAAAACCAGATAACTTTTTTGTCGAGGGCCCTCTACACGCTTAAAAAATTGGAGTTTGGTGTGCTCTCAATCGAAGGAGGATTTATGGACCTATTTTGTTTAATGGTACTCTTACTGCGCAAAGGTATAGAGAAGAAATTATCGCTCCTTTTGTTAACCAGCTGGAAGAAAACGAAATTACAAACTTTTACTTTCAACAAGATGGCGCAAAGGCACATACGGCAGGCGAGACGATCAATATGTTGAAGGAAGTTTTCCAAAATCGACTAATAAGTCTCAATGCTGAACATGAATTTCCACCGAGGTCATGTGATATTACGCCGTGTGATTTCTTTTTGTGGCCTTACCTTAAAAACACTATTTTTGAACTGCCTATTCCTGATTTAAACCATCTGCAGGCTCGATTTATAGACAAGATTCGTGAAATTAACAATACCCCGAGCATCTTAGAAAATGTCTTTAATTCTTTGAGGAACAGGTGTGAAAAGTGCTTGGAACAAGAGGGGGACACTTTCAGCAGCTGCTTTAATTTATTGTTATAACAAGGAGGAGGACACTTTCCGCAGCTCCTTTAATTGTTTCTTATTGTTATCATGATTATTCTTTAAAATAAAGTTATATAGTCATTAACGTTATTGAAACTGACAGCTGTTATACAGCTCGTTGAGAAATGAGGTTAAGTTGGTCGCTATAAGCTACTCCCTACGTCCAATGTGTCAGAGCCAACTTCGACCACGTTTTTATTTGAACGCTCGTTATAATTTATGAAATTGAATTACTTTTCAACCCTTAAAAATCCATAAAAACTAACCTTCCATGGTCAAAAAAATAGAAAAAAGTTTTTGACAGTTTAAAATATTCTTTTGGTGCATTCACAATGTATTGCATTTCTTTTGTTATTCATTAGAAAGCTTACGACTCATTACAAAGTTGCAACCCTTAAAAACCATCCCTTATAATAAAATAAAATATCATTGAAAGCTTGAGATGTTTTAATGGTATGCATATGAATTATAAACTTTTTATATTGGTTTTCAAATGATCTATGATATATTGCAACTTTTCAGCCACCCAAAAAACCCTTATGGAAGACCTACCCCTGTGTGTGTATGTATATTATTAAAATACTTATTCAAATCAGTTCACAAGTGCTCCAAAATACAGAAAGATGATGGTAATTTACCCACACCGAAAATTTTACCGAAAAAATGCTATTAATGCTATTAAGTTATAAATTTACTCAAAAAAAACATTTTGTAGGGAATGTGATTTGCAGTTTTTTTGAGGAGCCCTTCGTTTTTTAGATTTGTAAGCTAAAAGGGCTCGGGAAAGGCAGTCTTGGAGCTTAGTTTTGAGCTTCTAACGGTCATAACTCAGTCAAATTTTGTCCTACAAAAATTTTAAAAAAGCAAATTGTTCAGTAAGAAAAAACCTACAATTTCTTATTTTATCATTTTTTTATAACTTTGTTAGTTTTTCAAATATTTTGAGAAAAGTGATTTTTTAAAAAATTTAAAAATGTATTTAAAAGTAAATGATTTTTTTTAAATTTAGGCTTCTAAAATCGTTCAAATTACCAGAATCTACTGTTAATACATAAATAAAGTAAATTACAAAAGGAATACGTTTAGTTTTTTTTCCGTCAAGTCATTAATTTTAATACCGATTATTTTTTTAAATCAAGACAATCATTTTATTTTGATTGTAACTTCATTAGTTTTACCTTTAATTTTTCCTCTACAGGCCGTTGAACGTTTCGATTATAACTATCTTCGAAATTGACTTCAACTTCTGGGAGTCACAACTCGGGTTCTATACCATCTACAAAAATAAAAAAAAGCAATCTCTTTGCTATTTAATTACCTTCATTTTTGCTTATAATAATTTTTTTGATAAAACTTGTAGTTTTTGAAATATTCGCGAAAAATGGCTCAAAAACATGCATTTTGTGGGCTAAAAACGAACATGTTTAGGCGCAAATAACTCAAAAAGTATTGACTGTATAAAAAATTCTTATAAAACATTTTTTGCTTAGAATTCGTCTGTATCGAATCGTGAGGTTATTTTTAATAAAAAAAATTCCCACCCCCCAGAAGTAGTGGCATCCACCCCTAGGGTAAAAGCAAACATCGGCACTATATAACTTTTGTTTCTTGGGCTATTCCCTAGCTACAGTTCAAAGCCAAAATGCTTCACCGACTGTAATGTAATTGTATTTGCAATTGAAAAAAGATTTGCAAGATAAGAGAGAGAAATTTTTTTAATAAAACCTTTTTAATAAATAAAAAACAAAAAATATATATATAATTAAAAAAATAAAGAAATTCAACGAAAATTAAATAAAACAATCTTTTCGGACTACTTTATTTATAAAATCTTGATAAAATCTTCATGGTTGTCAAAAATAAGCATTCTGTGTATGCTTATCATTGCTAGGCCATTGAGATGATTTTGTACCATAGTATTTCTCAGCCAGGTTTTTATTCTTATTTCTGTTAATTTAAAATTCTAGAAATTTTGAAAATATGGAAATGTATCACTTTAACATAAACCTTCATATTTTTAAAATTTTTTGTCAATAAATATTTATATTAATTTATTACAATTGTTTAAAAAAAATAAAGTAGTGTAGATATTAATTTTCAAAATTAAAGTTTAAGTAAATAAAATATTTTATTAAAAATTTCGAATCCAATATTTTCTTAGCTTAAGAAAATGTTTGTACTGTTTTTGAAATTTATAGGGGGCAGCTGCCCCTATGCCCCCTTGGCGACGCCCTTGTCGTTTGACCAGAATAATATCTAATTAGGCCATTGAAAAACCTGTCTGGGCATTTCTCGCGACGATTCTAATAAGTGCCTGTCAATCACTGTCCTTGTTTTAGAAAAAAAATAGGATGACCGGTTGTTTACTTATTGCATTCTTGGTTGACTTATAATTATTAGTTCGGTGACAAGGCAGCGAAGCTACTAGATTAGTTAACGCGAGTGTATAATCCATTCGCGATGTTTTTACTGTTAAATTCAACGCTCGACAAGCAAATGTATACATTAGAAACATAGCAGAAACCACTAGAATATATATTCGTAATAAAAACTGTTCTACTGTTTCATTCATAATTTTTATGACCAGAAAGCCAAACTAACGAAATTTTTTATCTGTTCAGAAAACAAATGTTTGAAAATGATTGGTGTTACCATTTTGAAATGAGGAGATTTTTTTCAGTATCCTTTGTATGTTTGTAATTTAAATAGTTCTGATTTTGATTTTGAAGAGTCTAATTGTGACCTTTTGTTTCAGGCACCTGCTGCTTTCGACCGTCCTCCTGGTCGTCCTGTTCTCAGTCCTATCGGAGGGCAAGCCGAACCCGAAAAACCATGACCTACTCACGAAAATCGGCATGCAGAAGATCAGGGGGCCAAACACCCACCACAGGAAACGACTAGCCGTAGAATCGAGGCACCACAGCAGATCTGACGACTCTCACATGTTCATAATCAAACTGCCGCCCAATCCGCACTACTACGGTCACAACATACCCCACTCTTTCCAAGGCGTACACTCCAAGAGCAAGGACCTACCCGTTGGGTTCAAGAGTAACGGCAAGCCCGCCAAGATCTACCACTGGAATCTTCCAGTTTTGAAGAAGATGGCCTCAAAGATGAAGCCTAGGAGTAAGGATTACAACGGGATAGACCTACAGAATCCCGAAAGGTGGAACGAGGTCCTAGACAAGCCTGTGAAGGATAAGAAACCCTTGAAGCCATCTTATTACGTCCCTGCCAAGCCTAAGAAGTCTAGTTTTACGAAATATTTCGCTGGTAACGGCAAACCGCACTCGTTCTACGTCATAGAGAAGAGCAAAAAGGCGCACTATCACAGGCTGCTGCCGTAGTAGTGGTGTATGAGAGACTGTGCAATGAACTGTAAAAGTATTCTATAATTTAGACTGAAATTAAGCTTATTTTAATTTTATATATTGTATTTAAGTGATTGTTTTTTATAATAAATATTACTGATAAGAGTGGTGTCTTGTTTTGATATTGGAAAGGAATATACCACGATGTGAGTACCGTTGAATATACAGGGAGTCCCAATGTTCTGTCTACATGGAGCTACCAGTTTCTTGCGATCAAAAGAAGTAGATTTAACTAAACTTAGTTCTAGCCTATCGTTTAGCCACTATTTTTCTTTTGTAATAGTTTTGGGTTAATTTCGATTTCGAATCAAACTTGAAATAGTTACCTCATTCCAAAAGTAATTTATGTCCTCATTGGTACCTTCAAAACATTGTTAGAGGTTAAATGATGGAGAACGCTCGCTGGACAATGGACATTGTATTAGGATTACCAGTTTGTTTGACAGTTCTTGTACTTGTACCAAAATCGTCAACAATATCTATCGGGCGTCCTAAAACTCACGCAAGATTTGAATTTTGCGCCATTTGTTCAGTAAAGTGTTGCCAACGAAAAAAATAAAAGACAGCGTGACAATTGACAATTCAGGGTTATTAAAAATGGAGCACTACATCAAAGAACAACTCATTTTCATTCTGGAGCAATATTTTAAAAAATCACGAAGGAATAGTGATTTAACTTCATCAACTGTGAAGAGATTAGTTGAAAAATTCAGAGAGACTGGATCAATTAGTGATCTTGTACACTTCCTTTAACAAGTCGTTCAACACAAAACAGCGAAGCAGTTCATGAGAGTGTTGCTGAGAGTTCAGCAACATCAATTCGGCACCATGGTTAAGAATTGGACATTTCAAGATGCTCCCACGAATGATTTGCATCTTCATGCTTATTACAAAGTTCATTTGGCTCAAGAACTGAAGCCTACTGACCATGTAGAACGAAGAGAGTTCGTTGAATGGATTATGAAACAAGTAGATCAGCTGATTATTCGAATTCATTTGGGAATCAGAAAATCCACTAGTGATTGTTGACAAACAAATGCATCAACAACGTGCCACTGTTGGGTGCGGCATCATCAGACCATTCTTCGAACGAGCCCACTACCACCCACGCATTTAAGAAATATCAACGAAATCCGGCATTTATGCAAAATGGCCATGGAAAATTTCGACAAAAGAGTGCGTTTGTCCCGGCAAAGCCGTGAAGGCCATTTACCCAATATGCTATTCCATACATAACCCTTTACTATATGATTTATGAATCAATGAAAAATTTACAATTTTTAATTAAAAACCTGTGTTTTCTATCAAAATTACTTGCGTGAATTTTGGAACAAACTTTAGTGACTACTCTTCTACTCGCATGGGAGTTTGTTGTTGTGGTCCTCGTTTAAGGCAAGGAATAACATTACCAGTATAAAATACGCTAGCGCGCCGTAATGAATTACTCAAAATGTGCTAAACTCTGGATAACGGTCGTCATAAATACGTCTTGCTTCGTAAAACTTGCAAAAAGCAATAAAACGATTGTCTTTCATACTAAGGACGACAAACGGGTTGTCTTGCAGTCATTATCGTTGAGTGGCACATAATTAAGTAAAATCGTCACAAATATATTTTCGAGTATCTTTATTATGAAAAAATAAAATTTTAGCCTTGTCGGTAATTAAAAGGAACTTTATCCTTTAAATATAGAGAAAACTACGAAATTTAAATTATATACGCTCAAGCTATTATTGAAAAGTGGATAATTACTTGAATTTCTTGAGTTACAATGAGGATAGGAAGGATAGATAGTAACAATCTCTGCAAGTAACTTATTACGTAAGCATTTTCTGTATGGTTTTAGATATCATTTGCTGAAAACTGAGTTTTTCGTCCTCTTAACGAAAAAAAGAAAAGAACTATTAGAAGAAACTATTACCACGTAAACATTCTCAAATGGGCTAAAATCAAAAATACAGAGGTTTCGTAAAGACCCAAGATCTATAAAATGTTAATACCATTCCAATGTTTCCGTTAAATATGACGTATAATAGACCTTTTTAGTACTGGCGTCACAAATGCCAAGGGGTACATATTGTCATGAAGAATTTCTCAATATTTTTACTAGATCGATTTTTGACTTTGCCAAAAAAATGTCTTCTTTGTCATGACCTTAAATATCGCGATATTCTGGCAATATTAGAAATATTTAAAAAGTTTCAAACCCCAAGTGACAAAAGAAATACAGAATTTGTATATTTAAATTTATAGAATATTGAGTTTTATAATAATTAATAAATTAAAATTAAAGATAATTACGTGTAAGCGAAGTAAGAAAGAATGCTTCAAGAAAAGTTTGGTTGTGGTTAAGAGTGCGTCTATAATAAACCACCTGAAGAAAAAAACACTTGATAAACTCACTAAACCAATTTAAGTAACAAGACTTAAGAGCGTTATCAACATTGTTGCCTCAGATTAGATGCCGTTGTTATTGCTGTTATTGATCTTGCTGACACAGTACAAGAGCAAGAAAAACAATAAAAATAGCTAGAAAATGCCAAGATTAAACAAATGAAGAGAAAATACGCTAATGTTACCTATAAATACCTATTGGACTATATTGCCCATATCAGGATGTGTGATACGTTTACTTTTTTGCTCGAAAATTATTGAATGTACAAACAAATAGGAGAGATTTAGTTTGAAGTTATTTATAGGGGTCGTTACTTCTATTCCTCGTCGAAGGAGAAAATCCAGAACAATGATTTTTTCCGTAGTAGGAAAAGTATACCAAATTTCATTTTCGTAAATTCAAATTGATGGAAAAATCTACAATTTTCTCTTCCCGTTCGTGGCGCAACAAATCCGCAGGAGACAGTTTTTTCATTTAAAGTCCCTTAATTTAATTTTCAACTACGAATCACCTCACACTTATTCATTTACACCCCGTTTAATAAGGACACCCTGTAGAAGAAACAACAAACTCATTTTCATCAACTGTTTGGTACATACTACTAAAATACGTTTAGAATAAATAAGGCGCACAACGCACTTCTGAAAATATTTTGGAATGTGATGGAAGCTTAGTCGAAAAATTGAGAACCGTTTAATTTCATAGCAATTTCGCATCAAAGATCTGTGATCATCTGAACGGCACGACTTTATGTCTAATACCAATCAAATCAACTCATCCATGCAACATCGAATTGCCGTAATAAACTGCCAGCCGCCGTTTTATTTTCCTTCGAAATTGGCAATAATGACTTTGTTTACGACACCAAGCAGATTTTATCTAAAATAGCCGTAAACCTTACGAAGTTGCTTGCGTGGGAAAGTTTCATTTCGCTTAACAGCGTTATTTAATTGAAGTTGACACAGAGTATTTCACTAACACAAAATATCGATGTAAATTTACTGTCAAAACGTCATCAAAGCTCGTGGGGATGTTTCAGAAACACCCCGTACACACCGACGTTTCCTTGGAGACGAGATTTGTAGCCCTATCGATCAAACTTCGACAGATTTGGCATTTCTTAGTCTTAAGAATGTTTTCCAAGTCGAATACAAATATGAATATGCCCATACTCCAGCCCAAGCTTATTGTGGGTCTGGATACCAGGATTCCCTGCAATATACATTTCCTGAACGACGACGAAGTCATATACCCCGCTGGGGCCGTGATAGTCGTTCACAATTTTCACGTGAAGAAGCAGAAGTTCATAAAGCTGGCAGATAAGGGAAAGAATCTGACCCACTTGAAACTGAGCCCAAATAAGTAAGTAAAATACATTTTTATTAGTCTTAGTTCTCCACGTTATGACAGAAAAACACGTACAGGGTGTTAGATAAAACATATTAGTTGTTTCGTTGTTTTTTTAGGACTTTCAGCTGAAATGTTGCACACAACTTTTATTGGTAATTGTTTAGAAGTTGGTTATGTGTATCTTGTATAATAGTCCAGGCGATAGAGTAGTAAAAGTAGGCTTTGGCGTTTGTGTTTGAAATCATCTGTTTTGTTGTACAGACAAAACCCAAATGTAGAATGAGAATCCGAGTTTGCCTATTCCAAAAAACCATTGTTAAACAACAAACATACAAAAAGAACGAAAAATGGCCAGTTTTTTGACATATTTTTTCCGTAACATTGAAAGTAAGCCCTAAATAAAAAAAAAGTCATTCTTTATTTTTTATTTATTTGACGATTTACAGCAACTGCGATCAAAAAAGTTGAATTTTGCATTAACAATGGCCGAAAAATAGTAGAAAATCATATGTATATTCGAAATTATATTTTTAAGTTTGTTCTCGTGACCTCGAGAAGGTCAATTCAAGGTCAAATGCTACTAAAAATCTACCTGGTAGCTATTTGAGTTTTCTTGCGGAATAAACGAAGGTACCTTTATAGAAAATATTGAACTCAAATGTGACAACGATCTTAACAATGTTGACCTTGAGGTAATTTTCAAGGTCATTTGATTGTCAGATTGTTTTTTTATGGAAAACTTTGTTTTTGACACCGGATTAAAAAAGTGAAAAATTATACGTCAGAATTGATATTTTAATTGTTGTTGTTCTGACCTTGAGAAGGTCAAATGTTGGAAATTTGCTTGCCAGCTGTTTATTTAATTTTTTGGGCAGATTTAACGTTGTAAAGGTACCTTTAAAATGTAGACCAAACTCAAATTTGACAACGATCTTGATTTAAAGGTCAATTTCAAGGTCCCGGTGTTCCTTTTGACCTTGAATTCCTTCTAGTGGTCACGAAAACGAACTTGAATATCATTTCGCACGTACAATTTCCTGCTCTTTTCGAATTCTGTGTCAAAAATTGGGATTCCTTTAAAAAAAGACTGTCTTACAAATAACCTTGAAAATGAATCTCTAGGTCAAAGCTAGCTGCACAGATAGGTGGCCCCCATTGTCCTGAACAAATTTTGTTTGAACCATTTTTCCGTATCTCGATTAGGTAGAAATTTGGATACATAGATTAAAATAGCTCACCCTGTATATTTTCACCACCTACTACCAGAATTACAACGCCTGAAAACCGTCGACAACCCTGCAGCCACCCCAAATGGACATCATTGTTGACGTAACAACACTACGAAGTTAATGTTACAAATTTTCCCTTCATTTGCCTTTGATAACCTTTGATGTCGCTCCTACCCTACACACGAATTCACCCCCTACCCTATGTGCCTTTGAGAACTCAGTTTTCACGTCAAGTTAACTTACAGCGCATTTAAACATAGACAGCCTTGTAAAAATAGCCGAAATGTTGACAATTTGCCTCCCCTATTGCAACCCTCTATTCCGAGAATTTCCATGCTCAAAACACTTCTTTTCTACGCAGAACGGTCTAACTTACACAGCGATACAAAAATAACTCCGACCGAACCATGCCTGCGCGCAGCTGTCGCGACCGACAATTGTTACTCTGAAAGTTTATACCCCCGATACACTATATTTACTAACATCTAGCGTTAGACTACCGATGCCTTAAACATGTCTGTTGTTAGAAATCAAATACATATTAAAAATTTAACTTTATTAATTTAATTATATAGTTAAAACAGTAAATTCTTGAAAATAGTACAGGAAATGGAACATACCAGAACAACATCTAGAGCTTAAAAATATTTTCTACTACAACCCCTTTCATATACTAACTTAGATTTTTTAGACCAGTGCTTAAGTCTTCAAAAACGGTAAAAAGTGAAAAAAATTATAGTAGGATGAATCCCATTGGAAAAGGAAGAGAATATAACAGAAATGAAAAGAAAAATAATTTACGGGCGATCTGAAGTCGGGAAGGGGAAGGGGGTGAGTTTTTAAGGTTAAAAAACGGTTTATCTTGATTTCCGGAAAAACTACAAGTCTTATGGAAAAAAGTTAAATAGCAAAGTTGTGGGTAATAAAAAGATCTACAACTTTTGTATTTACACTTTTTTCACATAACCTCAAAATTTATGTGAAAAATTCAAATAACCAAGTTTTTGGTTTTTTATTTTTATCTTTTACAAAAAAATTTTATTTTACGAAATTTGGTGAAAACTTACCTATTTATGTCCCAAAGAAGCTGTAATTTTTTTGATTTGAAATATTTATTTTTTCGCCTTATTTTTACTTAATATCGAAAAAGCACCCTAATTTTCAATCGAAAATTCTCACGTCAAAATATCTGCTTTTTTAAAAACGTCGGTGGGCTTTTTCTTCGTTGAAATCTCTACTTTCTGATGTTGTAAAAAAATATACATTACTATGGTTTTCTCAGGAAATGCAAAGAAACGAAAAAAACTAGAATCCGAAAATTTTTTTCTAATCATTATGTACAATTTTGAGCTATTTATTAAAATTTACACTTCAATTACTTGAAAAACGTAAGATTCCATGTTACATTGATAAACAAAAAAATTACGTCGAAAGTCGAAATATACTATTATAATTAACAACCAAATAAGTTAATAAAGTTAGTATTTAATCAGACATCTACAATATTTTGAGAAAGTTGTAGAATCTTTTTTCGTTTCTTTGCATTTCCTGAGAAAACTTACCATAGTAATGTATATTTTTTTTACACCATCAGAAAGTAGAGATTTCAACGAAGAAAAAGCCCACTGACGTTTTTAAAAAAGCAGATATTTTGACGTGAGAATTTTCGATTGAAAATTAGGGTGCTTGTTTGATATTAAGTAAAACTAAGGTGAAAAATAAATATTTCAAATTAAAAAAATTACAGCGTGTTTGGGACATAAATAGGTAAGTTTTCACCAAATTTCGTGAAAAAAAAATTTCTTTTGTAAAAGATAAAAATTAAAAACCAAAAACTTGGTTATTTGAATTTTTCACATAAATTTTGAGGTTATGTGAAAAAAGTGTAAATACAAAAGTTGTAGATCTTTTTATTACCTACAACTTTGTCGTTTAACTTTTTTCCATAAGACTTGTAGTTTTTCTGGAAATCAAGGGAAACCGTTTTTTACCCTTAAAAACTCACCCCCTACCCCTTCCCGACCTCAGATCGCCCGTAAATTATTTTTCCTTTCATTTCTGTTATATTCTCTTTCTTTTCCAATGGGTTTCATCCTACCATAATTTTTTTTGGTTTCAAAAATTATCGACCCTGGTCTATTTGCTGTGATGTATGAAATACGAGTCTGTGCGAAATTTCAATCGAGTATCTTGAAAAAGATCCAACTAAATGAAATATGGTTAAAACGGATTGACCTACTTTTCTTGTAACGCCCTGTAAACAAATTCAATTTAGACAATTTGTGTGGCATTTTTCCTAAGACATTAATTTTTCAATTAGAAAAACAATCGCCATCGTAGAAAACACCGAAAAGCTCCCAATGGTCACCCTGTGGTGTCCCATTCAGTTCAAGAAGAAGAAGACGCTTATCCTACCCCCCGACAAGGATATCATTGCTCACAGGTTTGTCTCGGTAGACTTCACATTCGACTCCAAGTACTTGATCTGCGTAACTGGCGAGCCTGATTACACAATGTACTGTTTTAAATGCGACAAAGGGCGATTGGAGAGCTTCGCAAGAGCCAATAATCTAAATGGAACCGGCACTGTTACCCAGGTATAGTTAGTTTCTCAATACCGTGGCCTAACCATCGTATAAACCGTTTCCACATTGTGTGGCCTAACCGTTCAACTTAAAATTTTACTATAAGCTTATATTTAATAAAAAAAAATTATGTCATATCGAGATTTGACCACAGACAAGTGATCTACATCTGAGTAGTCGTTCAAAATCAAAACTCCCTTGATAACGGGTGGATCCCGTAGGTGGCTTGCAATCCCTCTGACGCCAACCAGGTGGCGCTGGTGGGCGACAGCGTGCTGCGCTGCCTTGGCTGTCAGGATTACTCGTGGCGCCAGTTTGGCTACAATAAATTCGACCCCACGGTCTTCACTAGTTGTTGCTGGTTGTCCCAAGACAGGCTCATGGTGGGCAGCAACAAGGGAAAGATAATGATCTTGGAGACGGGGGAGCTCAGGGCGGTTTTCAATGCCATGGATCTGTCGATTATCAACATGAAACAGGACGATGAGTAAGGCAGAGATTATTACTTTTGCTTAAGCTGACTCTTGTAAAAGACAGAAAAATGTTGAAAAACTGCCTGCTGGAGTTTAGGTCTTGTTTGTGAAACGAAACAAAACGTGCCTTGATTTGAAATTCGTTAAATCCAGTGTGATTTTTTTTTAATTTTCGAGTATTTCTGGATTTTGTGAATTTGAAATCTTGGTAGATTGTGTTTCACAAACAAATAGAGCTGAATTCCATAAGCTAATAACACCTACATAGTTTGTTTCTTACAAGACTTTTCACTTATCCAGGAACATGCTATATATTTTAATTAAATGTCTTACTCTTTTTTGCCTACCTTTCAATATAACGAAGTAAAAAGGGAAAAAGGTAAGTCAATATGACTACATGAACTGATTGTGAATCTAGTTGGTGTCTCACCCTACTAAATATTTTAATGCACCGCCCAGATTTCTTCTTCCTCTTTAAACGTTTGCTAAATTTTCAAAAACATTCATTATTTTTTCTAAGCTTTCTCACTGTTTTCTTCTATTTTAACAATTTCACATGTTCTGTTCCTTTTAAATCAAGTGTTATTATTAAAGAATGGAGGAAACGTCGCAGACCAGCGTCCATTCGGTACATTCCCTCCAGATAATCGAGGGAGACCTCCAGAACTACGAAATTCGGGCTCTGGTCTGCTTCAGCAGGGGCTTCGCCTTCGGTTTCATGAACGGCAAAGTACACCTCTACGAGAAAGAAACCGTGAACAAGTACAAGAAGAGAGGCATCTTCGTGGTGCCCGACAGGACCATAAAAAGGGAATACGAAGAAATGCCCAAGGTCCTCACGACCATCAACACCATAGCATTCAATCCATCAGAAGACAGGTGATTCCTTCTTGCTTTTTTTTTGTAACAATGGCGACTAGTCCTTGAAAGAAATATTGCAAATAAAAAGAAAATGCAAATATCAACATTTTCTTGTTTGTCGAAGCTAGGAACCTAACACCCTGTATACAGATATACAGGGTATTTTTTTCACTAGCTATGACTGTTATATGAACTGTCTGATTGGTGTTAAATTTGACATAAACGTTCCCAAGACACAAGCATAATGTAAGAGATTAATGATTTGTAAGACTACCAACTATTGCGTTAGTCTTAAAGCAATCTGTATTACTCATACTTCTCTTGCTATTAATATAGACACGTCAAACCTTATATCGTAGGAAAATAATAAGGAAGAGTCTTCTTATATTCAAATAAGTAAAATGTAGATAATCCATTTGAAAAAAAATCTTGTTTTACCTGAAAAAATGTCAATCTGACAACAATGTAGTTGCCCTCATTAGATTCACCATGCCCTTTTATCCCTGGATGTCAAATTTGACGCCAATCATACATCCCAATTATCCCATCCAAAAATTACAGGGATTGTGCTAATAAAACTATCTTGTACATAGATTTATATAATTTTTTCCACGTTTTCGTGGTCTCTGCTTTCTAAACGCTCAGTAGATTTATTGCTAAAACAAAGTGAACGAATTTCTCATATTATCGGACCGTATTAAAAGACCGCACAATGCCTTGTCTTACCTTCTTATGTTTCTTTTGTAATTCAATATTTCCAATCTAATTTCATCAGCGGCGTTTATCTCTGAGAAGGTTTTTTGATGGGTATCGGTGTCAACAGCTGGGTAACATCGCATGGGCGCACAGATCTAATATATGGCTACGTGACACTTTTCATGATTTTTCAGCCTACTTTGACACTCAAAATGTAAATAGTTTCGTCAAAGAACACGGCATAGCTTTCAAGCAAAATGGGGTTAATTCTTGGGTATTTGTATTGATGCCTTTATGCTTGCTAATTAGACAAATTTATAAATTTTTTTCGTAGCCGTGTCAATTTATTTTTAACTTGCATAGAATGCATCCAAATGCGTGTGAGGAATGTGTCAATTGAACAGGTCTGGATTAAGAATTTTTCAGTTTCAAAAACACGAAGTTATAGTTTCCGTTAGTGAATATCAGAAGTAATATTATTGTCACTAGAAGTATTGATCTGTATTAATGCAATTGAAACGCGCCAGATTATTGGTAAGCTGTGAGGAGATGCAGTTGTGGACTTCTAGGATGTACGTCAATGATACTGGTTTTAACACTGAGATAACCATGAGGGATTTTGGGTATCCAATGCATATGGGCCCTGTGGGATGTCTGGCACTATGCCGATGGAAACCCATTGCAGTGACAGCCGGTTAGTAACCTAAAAATATAAAAAAACAAAACGCATTGGTAACACAGCTCCACAAAAAAGTTCAATAAATTTGACCTTGAACTGACCTTCAACCAGAGCTAATCGGGTCAAACGGACCCCGAATTCGGATTCAGCGACCCCAAAGACGTATGAATACATTGGTTTACTTTGTTGGAAATTGATTCTCTATATTTAACCTTGAACTGACCTTAACGCAGATCCAATCGGGTTAAACGGACACCAGATTCGAATTTACTAACCCCAAAAACGTGTAGGTTACTTTGTTAACAATTGATTTTCTACATTTGACCTTGAACTGATCTTCAACCAGTGCTAATCGGGTCAAACGGATTCCGAATTCGGATTCAGCTACCCTAAAAACGTATAGATACATTGGTTTACTTTATTGGAAATTGATTCTCTATAGTTGACCTTGAACTGACCTTAACGCAGACCCGATCGGGTTAAACGGACATCGGATTCGGATTCACCGACCCCAAAAACATGTAGATATGTAGGTTTACTTTGTTAGCAATTGATTCTTTGCATTTAACCTTGAACTGACCTTGAATCAGAGCTATTCGGATCAAAGGGACCCCGAATTCGGATTCAGCGGCCCCAAAAACGTATAATTACATTGGTTTACTTTATTGGAAATCGATTCTCTATAGTTGACCTTGAACTGACCTTAACGCAGACCCGATCGGGTTAAACAGACCCTGAATTCGGATTCAGCGACCCCAAAAACGTATGGATACATTCATTTACTTTGTTGGAAATTGATTTTCTATATTTGACCTTGAACTGACCTTAACGCAGACCCGATCGGGGTAAACGGACACCGGATTCGGATTTGCCGACCCCAAATACGTGTAAATATGTAGGTTTACTTTGTTAGCAATTGATTCTGTACATTTTACCTTGAACTTACTTTGAACTGACCTTGAACCAGAGCTAATCGGGTCAAACGGACCCGGAATTCGGATTCAGCAACCCCAAAAACATAAAATTATATGGGTTTACTTTGTTAGCAATTGATTATCTACATTTGACCTTGAACTGACTTTAAATTGACCATGAACCAGAACTAATCGGGTCAAACGGACCCGGAATTCGGATTCAGCAACCCCAAAAACATACAAATATATGGGTTTACTTTATTAGCAATTGATTCTCTACATTTCACCTTGAATTCACCTTCAACCAGAGCTAATTGGGTCAAACGGACTCCAAATTCGGATTCAGCGAGCCAAAAAAACGTGTAGATACAATGGTTTACGTTGTTGGAAATTGATTTCACCTTGAACTGACCTTCAACCAGAGCTAATCGGGTCAAACGGACACCGGATCCGGATTCAGCGATCCCAAAAACATGGTCTTGTCTTTCAGACCTCCCACTTTTTTTTGTGGGGCTGTGTAATAACGACACAAATTGTTTGCGAACTTGGAGATTTATTTTTAATTTGGATAAAGGTCTATTTAAAGTATTATTCATAAAAGTTTTATCGTTTTGTTCTTTGATTTATGTAACTATTAATTTTTTTAAAAAAGAAACACCTTTTTTGTACATTTTTAAAACATTTTATGTAATCGTGCGAAAAGATATTTTATCTATAATTTATTGTAGAATATTTTGCGATAATTTTTTTATTTATAGTAACATTTAAAATATAAACTATTTTTTAACAATTTAAAAACGTTTTAAAAATATTGCGGGCTGTTAGGGAGTATGGCAACTTCTATCTCAAAAATTTGTAAGAGAATTATACTGAAAAGAAAAATAATAATCTCCAACATTATAATTACTAAGATTTTAACGGAAGTAGAAATCCAAACATTTGTACAAAAGGCCTCCTACTGCTTGCATTACCATTAGTTGTTTCTTAACTGTCACTCTCACATACCTAAACGCCTTTCTGTTCCCGAAATGTCTAGTCTATAGTTTAATATAACTGTGTAGACATCTTTTAACATAATTTCCAAGTTTGTAGACATTTTGTAGAACTTTTAAGCCTAAACGGTTGACATTTGAGTGTCATCTTTCAAGGCACCCGCGACCGATCAATAAAAATATGGAATTACGAGACGGGCGAAGTAGAACTGATCCACTCATTCGAAGACGACATATACTCGGTAGCCCTGCACCCCACTGGACTCTATGCGGTCATTGGCTTTTCCGACAAGCTGCGCTACATGACCATTATGATAGACGACCTGATCATGACCAAGGAGTTCCATATAAGGACCTGCAGGTATGTACCCGGTGAGAGGAAAGGCAGCCAGGCCCTTCATATCTTTGTTACAGGATGACCAGCTTCAGCAGATTGGGTCATCTCTTTGCAGCCGCCAACGCCAACGTTATCCAGATTTACTCCAGCATTACCTTCGAACAGCTGTACGTCCTCAAGGGACACAACGGAATTGTAAGTCCAGAAAAAAATTACGGCCACCTCCAATAGTTATTATTGTTGCACTTGGAAGACTCACAACCGAAAATTTCAGATTAAAGGCATGTCTTGGTGCCACGACGACAGCATCCTGGCTACGTGCGGATCTGAGGGTGCGGTGTACGCATGGGAAGTGGGAAAGGCCGCCAGGATGGCGGAAACCATCATAAAATCCAACCACTTCACGGGAGTGGCTTTGACCAGAGACGGGAAGAGTATCTTCGCGATTGGCCTCGACGGACACTTGAGGGAGCTGATGAGCTCCAATGTTCATCGGGATCTCGTCCTAGCACCCTCAATAACCTTGGACGATATCGCGTTGTCCCAATTGGATACGATGCTCTTCGTAACCGGTACAGAAATTGTTAAGGTTATGTTGTAGAGCTCGGAGATACGCAAAACCTCGATACGTGGTTCCAATTTATTCACTGCAACGGGAAATCTAACATTTATGCCGTTGTTTATTTCATTCTCTTCTGGTATTTTAGTTAATTTGTGCCTTATTTGAATTCACAAGGCTACTACCGTTTGCAGACATACAAAATGAAAGCATGAAACAGTAAATCGACAGCTATGAACAACGTCTAGTAAACAACCGAAACGAGAACTGGTAGACCAAAACTCCAGTTTGAAACTTTTTTAATTTTAAGGTAATTCCGGAGTCATCTACGTCGTCAAAATGCCACTTCTGGAAAAGGCCGAGTATGTTGAATATATCATGCACAACTGTACCCTCACCAAGGCAAGTTCTCGGTCTACAACAAGTTCTTGTTAACTTTGACTTATTTTTAGATGTGTCTCTCGGCTGACGACAGATACCTAGTGTCTGCTTCTGAGAACGGTATTATCTGCTTCTGGAAGTTGTTGAATATCGAAGACAAAACCGTCCAGTACGATGCGGACATAGCCGCTTCCCACGAGATCCTCATATCCAGGCAAATCCTCGAAGATAAGATAGACATGATCAAGAACCTCCAGTTGAGGATGAGGGAACTAGAGACGGAGCACTCCTTCCAGATGAGACAGAACGACGCCTTGTACTCGTCCAAGATCAAAGACATCCACAGCGAGTACTGCCAGGCCATAGAGGAACTGAAAAGCAAGAACGAGGTGAGAGGTTGAGTTTTACTGGATTCGTATTCGTCATTCATCAATTTCAGCAAATGGAAGGAGACCACTTGCAAGAAATCAACAACCTGAACGTCCTGATCAACAAGATGAGGAGCGATCATGAGATTGCCATTCAGAAGCTGGAGGACAACTACAACGAGAAGCTGATATATGAGTACAATAAGTTTCACAGGTACGAGACCAAGATGGACAGCTTGCTGCAAGAGCAGGAGTCGAAGTTCGAGGCGATAAAAAAGGCGAAGAAAGAATCGGAGGAGACGATGGTCGCGGATTTTAATCAGAAATTCAACGACATGATAGTACACAAAGAGGAGGTAAATTATTCCCGCGAGCAACCGAGCAAAAGTTTTGGCAGAGATATATTAAAATTTTTGGGTTGAGATACAAAAGACCAGTCTCGTTTATCAAAATCGTCGTTCATTCCCAAACATTGAGACTCATCCACGCCTTATAACCTTTCCGGTTGCGTCAGCAAAACGTTGTTCACTATAATTTTTAATTTTTGACAGCTGGTGGAGGAGATTCAGCAGAAATCCAAGGAGCACGAGATGATAGTGCAGCAAATCGAGGATGACGTCGATAGAGAAATTTACGAATTGAAAGAATCCCACGAAAAAGAACTAAGAGAAGAACAAGATCTAAACGTCCGGCTGCGTGGCGAAGCGGCGGTGTTGAAGAAAAAATACCTAGCCGCCCAGAAAGAAACGAACGATTTGAAGCAGAGGGTGTTTACTTTGGACAACGAGCAACTGAAGTTCAGAGCCACTATCCTGAACCTGGACAAGGAGATTCTGGATCTAAAAAAAGAGATGCAGGAAAGGGATCAGACCATCGAAGAGAAGGAAAAAAGGATCTTCCAGCTGAAGAGCAAGAACCAGGAGCTGGAAAAATTCAAATTCATCCTAGACTTCAAGATCAAGGAACTGAAGTCCCTGATAGAACCCAAAGAAAAGACCATACAGGAACAGGTAACCACCCCGTCGCCTTGGTTTATTCACGTTTATGTTACAAATGTTCTTAGGTGACGCAGATCAACGAGATGGTGAGGGAGCTGGAGAATTTACAGAAAATAATATTGGGATTGGACCTGCAACTGGCTGAGCTGCGCGAGAAGCTGGCCGCTTCTAATAACGAGGTGAAAAAGGAGATCGAAAAGAACGCCAGGATGAAGAAGGCGTTGCAAAACATCAGAATCGACATTCACCACGCCAGCAGCTATATTCAGAACGTGCCCCGATTGCAGAGATCAGTGAGGGTATGTAACTAATAACCTTTGTTTATAATTTAGATGTATAACCCAAACTAAAGAACGAAAGTACTGGATGGTGAAATCCATGTGAAATTTTGATTGATGCCGTCAGTTTACGTCGAGTCTCAGAATCTTAGAGCATATACTATAATATGGAGGGAGCACTCTTACGGTGACAGTGTAGACGAACGACAAAGAGAGGAAGAAATAGTTTGGGCACCATCTTTCTCTCTAACGCAGGTACGTGATTGATAAACCTAAGTTCTTCCTCAACGATTAGAGAAAGAGAGCGAATACCCAAACTATCGCGTCTACACTTTTTAACACGTGGCACGTGGTGCTTCCTCCATTAGTATATGCTGTAATCATTGACCTACTAAAGATTTAACTGAAATGTGCTTATAATGTGCTTCAGCAAAAATTCTCTTCAAATAATACGTTGAACGAAGAAAGCATCGACATAGTTTCAATTTATACAGTTCTGCAAAGCAAGAAAATATGAAATATTTTAAACAAATACGTTAGAAGAGCTTGCAGTAATTTTAACCGATGGAGCTTACGATATGAGGAAAATAAATGGAGAAATACATAAAAAAGGCATTATAAAAACTATTTGGAATATTATAGCTAAAACAATTCAATTATTGTACTGTAATTAGGACAGTAATATAATAAACTCCTTTACATACGTACACTACTGGAAAAAAATAAAAATTTTTTGTCTTCTGGTCTCTATATTATTTTTATAAAGTCTTTCAGTACGGAACAGAGGAAAGGGGTAAGGAATCGAATATAGCTAGCTGATTAGTTGAATTAAATGTAGCGCGCTGCAGTCGAAATTCTGTGAACGAAGCTTAAGCCCTTACTAACTCTATCTCTCTCGCACACGTCTGAGCGATTGCCGTTTATATAGCAGTTGGGCAGTCCAGTAGTTTATAAGGTATATGGCTCTAATAGAGCACACCATACTATTTTCACATCACGGTTAATCTGATTTTCCAAATAGTTTTTATAACGCCTCCTTTATGTATTTCTCCATTTATTTTCCTCATATCGTAAGCTCGATCAGTTAAAATTACTGTAAGTTCTTCTGACGTAGTACGTAGTTGTTTCAAATATTTCGTATTTTCTTGCATTGCAAAACTGCATAAATTGAAACTATACTTTTCAACATTCATTCGTTCAACATATTATATAAAGAGAATTTTTGCTGAAGCACATTATAAGCACAATTCAGTTTGATGTTAAAAAACAATTCCAACATTTAAGGGAGCAAAATTATTTAATTAAAATGACATCTTATTTTGAGGATGGGGAAATAATATAAAATATAATAATAAGTCATCATCAGAGACAACTTTACTTGGTCATTATTTTCAAAAGTATAAACGTTGGTACCATCATATCCTCTTTCCTACCTATGAAATTTAATTTTTTGTCCACTTAAACATCTCTTTACGCAATTGATCGCTGAACACGATTGCACCATATTTAGCTTTCACAAATATTTCAGATCCACTAAATCACACTCAAGAATTTAAGAAATCTTTTCATGACTTTTACTCTAAGGTTTGTTTACGTTTGTTTTGTACCGGTGTACCGTTATTTGTTTTATCGGTATTTGCCTTCACTAACTTCATCTGCCTTGCACACATCAGCGCGATTTACCTCTCTTTCTAGGGCCAGTCCATAGTTTATAAGGTCTATGGTTTGCTTTGCTGACTTTGCTTAATCACTATGACGTCTGTGGGCTGTCGGGATCCAGGTCTAACAGTTTAAGTAAGAAATTATGTCCCTTTGAGTTAAACTTTCTTAAATCCATGAGTGTTAACAGCACTGCTCACCGACCACAACTGTGGGCAATGTCAATTAAGACAATCCCCAATAAATGACCTCAGAAGGACAGGGTCGAGCGGGACTATCGCTCTTTACCCACTCGGACCCTCTTATCCTATGTATCTAATGGCATTTCACTGGCTTTCTATAGTATGAATAATGTTAACAGTGATAAAATAATTTAATTTCTTATTCTAGGATATGTACCACAAATACAACGCAGACAAAGACTTCGAGGTCACCCAAGCCGAGGACACAGAAGCCAGAAGTGAATTCTTGAGGCAAAGAGACTTCTTAGAGAGGACCGTGTCGACCTTACACTACCAGGTACATTTTTATTATTTTTCTTATATTCTCAAGTCTTTAATGGTTGATTTTAGGCCACTAAGAATGCAAACCTGTTGGGCTACGACAAAGTACGACTTGTAGAAGAAAACGCGCAGCTTCTGGTTGAAACTAATCAGCTGAGGAAGAATCTGCGGGAATCGACTGATCAGACGAAAAAAATGCAAGCGTTAGTTGGGTTGTCGTACATTTCTCCTAAGATGGCTCAGAAGAAAGTGAATTTGGCCACGGATACGAATATAGAAATTCACAACACGTACAAGTCGAAATTAGAGGTAAAATTCTAATATTTGTGTGTAGATGTGTTCTTAATACATATTTTTTTACAGGAAGACGATAAGGCAATAAAAGCTTTGAGGGAAGAGAACAACAGGCTTTTAAGTAAAATTACTGAACAGGACATGATAGAATCGGAATCGGAACAAGACGACCTTTTAGCTCTGTGATTTTTAAATTTTGTTTTGTAAATAAAGTTTATTTACAAATTTTTGAAATTTGCGTTATTTTTATCTACCTCCAGATGGCAGCATAGACAAATTTAAATCGCATTGATATAAACTACACTTAGCCTGGATCCACATAAATGCGTGATCACATATCGTTGTAACCACGAGACCAATATCCATCATCCAATCCGTTTTGACCTTGACGGAGTGTCAAGACTGTCAAGTCGCGTTGCTGATGCTCAATTGGATGTTGATGGTCACGTGGTTGCAACGGATCCGTGATCACGCGTCCATGTGGATCCAGGCTTATAATCATGGGTACAAACCCTTGAGTATGTTTATGAAACAGAAAAGTTATCCATCAAACCCGTTGGCGACTTTAACTCACCACATCTAGATGGCACTTCGGTCTGACACATGACCCATGCCAAATCAGTTGAAGATTAGATGTAATTTATTATATTGAAAGTATTTTTCTTTAGCAAACTCATGATTCAATATGCTCTATTTCCTTTCTTTGTGTATATTATATGCACCTTTATTCAACATAGTTTATGACGATTGACGATATATTTTAGTTATTTTTCAAATATATCAAATTTAAAACACTGCGGTAAAAAGAAAAACTAATAAATTTAAAAAAGAGTACAAAATATGAAAGCTAATTTTTTAATTTCTTATTTTTGGCTGTATTTTTATGAAACTCATAAATATCGACATTTTTAAATGCACAGATCGCGCCGCGCCATTATTCCATGGCTAGAAATTGGCCTCAATGATTTGGGATCGAGGGGGATTATCCCTCTTTATCCTGCCTCATCTCGTGTAGGCCTGGACAGCCTTCGTAGGTGGGCCCCATCCGTCGTCTACCCCGACCGCAAATGCGGCCGGTGTAGGCGCTTTGTGGGACCTCCTTTTGTCCTGGCTGGGCCCCGCCGGCTAGGGCCCTTTCTTCTGGCGCTCTTCTTGCTTCGCCGGCTCGTCTGTGTAAACCCCGGGGGTAGTGTCATGTTTATGTGTGGTATGGTTGGGTAGGGTAGTGCGGCTATGCAGCCTGGGATGCGCTTTGCTAAGG